CTCTTTTTCGTGTAAGGACCATTTATTAGAAAATCGATGCTTTCCCCTATTTTTTGGGCTATTTTAGACTGAGGTAATGTGAAATTAAAGGCAAGAGAGAGACTGAGACTGAACTCCTGAACCGGATTGAATGAATTTACGAGATTGTAAACACGAAAGATTCATTCTTTCTCTTCTCCTTTGACTATTTATTCTTGAACTGTAAAAGATCAATACAATACTCCTTCTTATTCATTCTTGATCTTCTCCTTCACCTTCTTTCACTCCTGAACCTCTGCAACTCTGTCTCATTCATTGCTTCGCTCCTTCGTCTCCTGATACCATTCTGTCACCTTACCTTAATCAATCCATTCTTTTGTTGCAGTTGATGGAGAAGCTGCATTCATTGTTGGAACTGGGTTGGAACGCCACGTGGCTCGAGATTCTGGGGTTGCCCAACTAGTTTTGATGAAATACAAGATGCTCCGGTTTCAGGGAATCCCTAAAAAGCCCAGGTCGGTCAAGACTAGACTAAGAGTAGGTGTGGTTGCAACCAATCCAATAGTGCTTCTTACAGAGAAGTGTTTCAAGTCATTCGATTAAGGGCACTAGCTACCCTTTCTTTGTCTGGATTTGTAACGGGAGGCAGGAAACTCCGTCTATACCACAGCTTGAGACGAGACCCGGGAGGCAGCGAGCGTAGTTTACGGAGCGGGAGTCATAGTTCCAATAGCGAAGGAATTAGAATGGCGGCCGCAAAGGATACGGAGCGTTTAGGCTAATGGTACTACTAGTCAACTACACACTCGCAGACTCTTTCTGCGCTGACTGAACTTGCTTCGTAGACAAGGCTCGTTCCTTCGCATGCTTCGGGCGAAGCCGGGGTCGGATTCCCTCTCCTTTCTTTACAGTCTCGCATATTCTCGGATTCCCTCTTCTTTATACTGTCGCCCAGGTAGGGAAAACTCTTAGATTCTCGACGTTTTATAGAGTTTTGATTCAAATCCCGACTCAACCCCTCACCCTGCCTGTACCACAACCACTCATTATCCCTTACCAACTACCTTCTGTCTACAATCTGGATAAAGTCCCTTGCAATTAAGAAAAAGGATACGGAGAAGAGAGAAAGGAAAAGGGAAGGACAAAACGGATGCTTTTCTCAAGGCAATCGGAATAGAATGTGGCCGAACAGCTTAGCAAAGTCCCTGCCCATCTGGAGGTGCACCCCTTTCCATTTAGAAGGATATCAAAAGGGGTAAAGAGACAAGAAAATGGAGAACTCCCAAATCAAAGTCATTGGATTTGTTCGTACCATTCTGTCATCGATCACTGCTGGGTCGGTTGGTGAGTCACCCCCCAAAAAGCATCGATCAAGGTCAAGCATATATGGTTTATGAAATGATCAGCGGTCTCATTTATGTTATGCCCTGCATCGTGTTCGTCTGTCTTTATTGAGCTTTCTTCACTTCAGCGCCATGCGCTTTGCTTCGCTTTCTATTTATAGAAGAGAGAGACCATTGTCTTGAGAGTGAAAAGCAAGCGATAGAAAGTCTCGTCCCTCGCGCGTTCGCGCGAACTACTATCAAATGGTGATCTAATGATCTCATTAGTGAAAGAAGGACCAACGACGATCCTATCCTAAAGGAGAAGGAGGAGTAGGAGAAGTCTTCTTTGAAGATCTAGTAAGAAATCGGACAATTATGCCATTCGGAATCCGTCTTCTACAGAGGGAAAGCCTGTTACGAGTAAGTGGAGAGGAAAGATCTCCAGAGATTCTGATCTCATTCCATTCCAGTGGCTCGACCAGTAACCAATGGCGCAAACTCAAAAATCCCTGGTTTCCCGGTAGAACCCCATTTCGACCAAGTTGTTGCGAAACCGGCAAAAATCAGCGGTTTTACGCACAGCTTGCTCATAGTGCAGGTCCCACTTGTATATTGTATTTGGCCGAAGAAGCATCGGACAGGTTGGAGTTATTACCTTCTTGGGACTCTATAGACCAAGATCTGCTTTCATTATATGGGCAATACCGATCGACTTTAGTAGATCATATGGATGTAGAAAAAGCTTCGGATTTGAATGAATTGGAAACATCTCTTTTCCATTTCTATTTACCCAGTTCATATCTTTCTTTCGTGTATTCCCGGGAGGAATTCTATCTCGGGATACCACCTAAATAACAGCAGAGGGTCAAATAGGTCGGGAAGAAAGAGTCTGAGGTCGGGTCGGACGACATACATCTTGGTTGGTTTCACCACCACTAGAGATTGGACATATATTCAATCTTTATTCGGTGGGAAAGAGATTATTATTTCATTTCAATAGCTGCAAGACCAAAACAGGGTGCAAAAAAGCGAAAGCCCAGATTTGCACTTCCTCCCAGATACACAGCTTACATACCCCGCTCAACATTCTTGTAAAACAATCGAATCTAGGGTCCGGAGGCAAATTAGCCATTCAATCTTGTAAACTAATCGAGACCGCAATTGGAAAAAGAGAGACGAACGGGGAGGAATAACCAATCGATGAAGGAACATGAAACCATTCTGTTTCAATAGAGGTACGAGAAAGGGTTGGGGGCAATGAAGTAGGTGAAGTGGTTGGATTTTGCGAGCTGTTCCAACCACGGCTGGATGTGATTCCAAGAGCCGAACGAGAATGAATACCACACATCAGAGTCAAGACCAGGCTCCCTAATAGAATGTTTAACCGATCCATTCCGGATCGACCGAATTGGTACGGAAGTTTGAACATGGGAAAACCAGAGAAAACACAACTGATTTGAATAACCCGGTGACCTACCAATTGTAGAAGTAGGATCTTTGGCAAGCAATAAGCACTTAAATAATACAATTCGAGTGTACCATCTTCTTTCTCATTTCGAGGAAAGGGTGCGGGAGGAAAAGGAAACAACGGAGGGATCCGAATCGGACCTAAATGGGAATGGCATGAAAAGTCTTTTTCAAAACCTAGCATTAAGGGCGTTACGACGATATACGAGAGGAATGGAGAAAAACTCATGATTGGTGTGGAGGGGAAGTTCCGTTTATGATATAGTGCAAGAAAGAGTCGTCTCATTTCCTGACTTCTTCGTTCTTTCAAATTCATTCACTTCAAGGCTGGTTCTGAACGCCGCGTAACATCATCTTCAACCAACCTCCACCGCCTTGTCTTATCCCGCCCTTTCGGTGCGTCCACTAAAGAATTGATTCTACACTAAATAGCTGCAACTATACGCTTACTAAAAGACTGACTTAGGTTAGCAGCGTGAAACTAAGAAAGAGAGATGTGCCTAAAGCGGCATGCAAGCAAACAGTGCACGCTAAGAGAAAAGGGGAGAGATGTTCGAAATTACTATCACAATCAAGCCGCCCCCCTACCCTATCTCTCAAACTCTAAAAGGGCCCGTCACTTCGTTCGTACCTTCTTGGCTTAGGCTTCCAACTGAACTGACTTTATGGCCTTGCGCCGCTAGCAAAAGCTAAGCACTTGAAAAGCGCGCTAAGAAAGGTTGCTTCTTTCTGTCGGCCTTTCTGTGCAAGAGTCCACCAGTAGCATAGGAGAGGGTTACTGTAGAAGAGTCTTCCCGTTTTTACGTAAGCTTTTTATTACCAGTCAAGTAGTACAACAGCAGTATCTCATCTTATAGCGCGGCGGGTCGCCTTTTGAATGAAATAGAAGAAACTCTTATCGAGATAAAAACGAGAGAGTTGGAGTAGGTGAGTTAGTCCTCACTGACCTGAGCGATTTCGATCACCTAGCAGGCCTTTGATTTGGTAGGTAACATCGCCAAAGCGTATCATTAGATTTGACTACGAAGGAAGGCACTCGAAGTGAGAGGGCACCGTCTTGTGCAACGAGAATTGGCCCTCTATCATCGGGCGAGGAAAGAGACCCCTTCCTTTTTGGGGGATCAAGTTCCCGGCCCGAGACGCGTTCGTTGACAAAACCGCCGTAGGAATGGAGACCTTTCCCTCGAGCGGAGGCGAACTGATCAACAAGAAAGAGGCCCTACTCACTGCAAACGAATACACCACAAGATCGAAACTCATGCCTCTCTCGCATCAAGCGACCCCCACCACGTAGTAGTGATTATATCAATCATGTACGAGGGCCCTCCATTCTGATTGGTATATCATGAAAAAATCAAGCCATTTGCACCAGGCGCACTGCGCTTTCCCTTGCCCAGATGTTCTTCTCAGTCTTGGAAAGGTGACCCGCCGAAGACAGGAGCCCTTTAACATGTTTACGAAGACCTCTTAGAGAAAGGGGGTTCGATCAGTAGAGGGGACTACTTTGCCTCCCCGGAAGAAAAAGAGCCCCGCTGGACGACTGATCCCGTTGATCATATAACTGGGAGGGAACGTGTCACATTAGAGGTGAACGATCAAAGATGTCCTCTAATTACCACGATGAGGCTGGTCCCCCTTTGATTTTAGTAGACTAAGCTATTCATATGAATGAAGAAATGAATGCCGGGCTCTTTCTTTCACTGCTAACCCCAATCAGTTTCAACATGCTGATACTTGCCCTTTCGTCGAGCCCCGAGCTTGTGGTCCTCCTTTTAGTGTGGGTTCCATTGGATGAATCTGTCAAGTCAAGGTCAACGTACGTAGCAGCAAGGATGGTGCATCGCCTATTTCTCGTTCTCGCTCGGGAGCCAAAACGAAAACGCCGGCTACCTACTGTACTGGACCTTCGACCAGGTATTCTACCCTTCTCGAATCGGAACCAACCACCCCACTCTAATAATAGGAGAAAGGAAAACGCTCGAACAGTTGAGCGGCCAGCAACTTCCGTACACAGAGATAGATTCATTCTTCGTACCTGGTCCAACTTCACAAGCCTTCGCGGGTTGGGCAGAAGTCTTCTTTGGTAAGACGGAATTTGACAAAGAAAAGAGAGTGCTCGACCGGAACAACGGCCAACAAAGACCCTAATTACATATAGCTCCTCCCCTTGGCTAAGGAAGTTCTTTAGGAACCTCCCCTTGGCTAAGAGAGTGCTCGACGGGTACTCTGGGTAACATTTCGTATACATATATAGGCCCTGCGCCACATGAACAAGACAATAATAAATAATAATTAACACAGTTAATAAATAATAATTAACACAGTTTTTGTACTTCAGGCTCCAATATATAAAGAAAAGGTTCACATACGTAATGGGAATCCAGGAAGTGTAAGGATGGTATTTGTTGTAAGTAATACTGTCCAATTTGAATATGTACTCATACCACAGATATGCAGCCTGAAAGGTCAAATAACTCTGCTTCAACAAGAGGAGGACAACACCAAGAAACGAATACGCTAATTATCCAACTAAAAAAACATTCTACCATTGAGGATGTCACAACAATTGTCGTTTTGATCAATATCCTGCGCTTCAGTTTGGCTTCGTCTAACTTTTCAATCCATTCCTCAGCCTATCAAAATCATCCTTTTCATTATAAAGAATTTCTTATAGGGAAAATCCAGTTATGATAGCGATTGCAAACTTACAGTTGGATAATAGAAAGCATACAGCATGCCTAATATCCAAATATAGCGATCAAGCCCTGTGCGGAAGTGCCACTCATACAGAGGAGGCAACTGTTCTGCCAATCGATTTGGATCCTTATATCCTGCAATAATTTGAATCTTTAGGTTGGTTGCCAAAACTCCTCTGTCCTCCCAAAGATAAAATGGATCCAGAGGGTACCTAAAATGAAGGTAAATGGTTCCCAAAGCACATCAAACACTCCGGGTATTTCCCATACTATGATAACGATCAAGAAGCAAGCCAAGAATTTCACAGCAATGACGGATCTAATCTCATTGTACTTTTTCAGAATACCAACAAAGCCGTACACCGTAAGAGAGAAAAAAGTGTGCAAGGGGCAGATATAGTATAGCATGTAACTGTTGTCAAGGACAATGCAGCAACCAAACACCAAGAAATTAAGCCGCCACATCATCTGCTCAGCACAAAATGTAAAAAGTGGCACACATAATAACTCCTCTCTTGAAACATAAAAGCAAGATATTGAAGAATCATAGGAGGGCAGGCGTATACCTGAGCAAATCTGGAAAAGCTAAAGTCTTTGCGAACATAGTAATACGAAAAATTCCCAAATCCAGTCATCCACACATATGCAGCAACACATACACGACCAACATTGTAAATTTCTCTTGCAGCGAACTAATGGTACATCAAAAAAATCGCCTATACAAGAACAAAGAAAAACTGTAACTATTCTTAAAAGCTTTCAACCCATTTAAAAAACGATGATAATTATGTGAAGGAGTGAACTTACCTGCATCCATCCTTTCCACTCCTCAGTTTGATGCCTATTCAAGAACAGTATGGGTTTCACTGAAAATGGCGATTTATCGAGATGTATCTTGAATGAAGTTATAGCTGACACCATGATGAGATGGAATAAAAGGAAGAAGAAAAGATCTCGATTGTAACTCTGCAAAAATTGACCATGTAAACAAATATGTTCAGTACAAACATGTCTCGCCATAAAAACAAGTTAAATTACTGAATGATCTAAGACACCTTCTTTGAGGATTCAAATATATCGGTACGGTCACAAATGTAGAAATATGCTAAAAGAAAACCAAATTCACATCTGTAAGAAAGAAAGAAAGAAAGAAAGAAAGAAAGAGAGAGTTATATTCATAAACAAGAGATCAAATTCATCATGCACATAAATATTTAGCTTAAATTGTATGCAATCGTTTACGTACGCTGCTCTGAGTAGCATTCGATTTTCTATCAAGAATGACTCTTCCAGCATAATGAACCTAGCAGGCAATAAACAAAATTAGTAAACCTAAAGCATCAGCAGTTGACATTGGAAGAAAAATCCATGGTTTCTTTGATAAACCTGAGAAGATTAGAGAAAGAAGGTGGAATTTGAGCTCCATAAGGACTAGGCTTGATAGCTCCACCATCTAATAAAACAGCTCTATCATCTTCCTTTACACTAAGACTTTCCACCTCAGCCAAGCCAACATCAGAGTCTCTTCTAAAAATGTATCCAGCTTCAGTATGCAAGATTTTTAAGAATGAGAAACTTTTCAGCTAAGATCAACTTACACTTTGGAAGAGATCGACTTCTTTTTAAATACTAAGTACTCTGAATAAATCCAGGCTACGAATGTGGTTATAAATCCGATTAGAAACGAACCCTGTGGCAATCAAGCGACAAAAGGAACATAAATTCGTGACCTAATAATGGAGCATGCGAACGAAATCATATGAAAAACCACAATGTTAAAGAAGTTCACAACAGAATTAGCTTCTTTCACTGATAATCAAACGAATTGAAATAGTTCGAAAGTGATCGGAGTACAAACCTGACCGTGCGTCACAGGACCTAATAAGATCATTGCTACGAATTACCGACAAAATTCGAAATGGAAGAAGTCGATCAGAAGTGAAATTTACAATACAACAAGAAGGATTGCCAACGGTTTGGCACCTGCAAGAACAATCGGAGGAAAATGGAATAGAAAGATAAAAACGTAAGAAGATGAGTGAAGAGAAGTGCTCCATTGGAAGCATATGTAGGCAAGAGAGTTAGAGATGAATCAAAGAAAGAAAGAGGAACGCTCGAAACAATAAATGTAATGCTCTAGCAGTTCTTCAGCTTCAACTCCCCAACAATGTGCCGTTTTTTCAACAATGTTGCTTCAGACGACGCCGCCGGAGTTTCTTCCGACTACCCGGAGGTGGTGGCCGAAGCGGTTAGTCATTCCCGGTTTTCTTTAGTTCTCTACGGTTCCACTGCTGCGGAGTTCTGAAAATAAATAAATAAAGAAATAATAATGAATGTAAATGAGTTTAAAACTTTGAAGTGACCAAAACGAACTAATAACTTTGTAAAGCATTTATGTCTTTTGTGTTAGTTAAATTATAGGTTTCATAATTAAAAAAAGAAAAAAGATCAGTTAACTTATAGTTTGGGAAGAATGAATATATGTTCTAAAGTAATGATATTATAAAATGAGGTTTTATTAAAAAAAATCAATTGCAATTAAAATAAAAGGAGAAAACTAATTATAATGTCCACAAAGTATTTGAAATATGTTAGGTAATAATTTGGTAACTATCCTGTTTTAAAAAGAAATATTAAATGGTCTCATTACAAGCACGTGGTTAAAACAATCATGCTAATGAAGAAAATGTGCATGATTATTTTTTAACACAAAAAGCTTTTGAAAAGAAATCTTTCAAATCATATCTTATTGATGCAAAGATAACCGCTCAAGCCCGTCGTCCACCGCTAGCAAAAAAAAAAAAAAAAAATGCATCTACTAAGAAAATGTTTCTACTCCCTTATGAAAAAAAATGTTTCGTTCCTTTCTCCACTTAATTTGGGATCTCACAGCCATCTCGTTGGTGACCTAACGTTCTCGTTGACTCTAATATCATTTGTAACAATCCAATGTCATTTGGCCCGTTACGCATTGTAGCTAATCTCATGATTTTAAATTGCATACGGTAGAAAGAGGTTTTTAGACCCTTATAAAAATGTTTCATTCTCATCTACCTTCTAAATTCTATTTAAGTTATAAGTCAATTGCCAATCTCTAACCAAAACACCCTAATTAGCCTTAGAAATTGTACCAAAAGAAGACTATACCAAAACACTAAGCTAAGTGAAACAAATTAGTGGACGAGTCGAACCAAACGGAATTGCTAAATAAGATTTGCATAATTTTTTTTCCATATGAGATTGCTAGCTTAAGTGCAACCAAATTGAATGAGCTTTCGCTCTTGTGTGCATATCTTCTTTGATGGCATTTGATAAAAGATGGTGGTGATCGCTTTCCACGAGTAACTATATATAACAGTGATAGAAGGAACATATCAATTAGAGAGAGAGGAACGAAACTAATCTCTACTTAGCCGAAGTATTTTAAAATCATGAGACCGAGAGAAACCAACCAAATGAAATCGAACCCATCTCAAAATCTTATCCAAAAACCAAATGGGAAGCCAAAAGAAGGATCCTTTGGATGCCTAGTGGGTGTGTCAAAGGTTTTAGGAACCGACCTATTGGAGCATCGCTTGTACAAGCGTGGTCCCCATTTCTTTAATGTCTATTTCAAACAACTCTTTCATTTTATTTTTACATTTAAATATTTGGTAAGGTCTAGGAAGTAGGATGTATTTTTGGCACAATTAAACATATATTAAATGAACCCATTATAGGCTCCCCACCTAAATAAATGCCAAAGTTATATGCACTTTGTTATTAAAAAAAATTAAATTTAAGAAAATATTTTCAACTTTGAACCCAACTATTTTATTTAAAAAATAAAAACATTATTTTCTTAAGTGAAGGGTATGGGATTTTTTTTTTTTTTTTTTTTTTTTATAAAAAAAGTATTCTCTTATATTCTTTAAACTTCAAAAAAGCATGAAATAGTTCACTCACACCAATTTTAGTAGTGGGAAAAATAATTAAAATAACTTTTTAAATACGTCAGAAAAAGATTTTAAAAAAAAAAGTGATGGGAGAGAAAGGGAATGGAATAATAAAAGTATAAATAAATAAATAAATAAATAAACATATTAAAATATTAATAACCTAAGTACTAAAATCTTAAACCGAATCATTTTCTTTTGGGAAAGTGTAACGCTTTTTATACACTTTTATTGGTCAAAGGATAAATAAAAAAGGATTGAAGGTTGATTGGGCATATATATATATGTATAGGAGAGATAAGTAGGAAGATATTTTTATTTATTTAAAACAAAATAAATACTTATAATTAATACCAAGTTTATCACAATTTTCATGAATTTTGAAACCTCCCGTCCCGGTAAACGGTGAAAGGCATGCATTTAAAACATTTTTTTATTTATAAAAGAGAAATAGAACTATTAATCCCTCCCAATACATGGTTGAATTCAATCTGCATATCATTTGAAAGCATCCACACACATAAAAATGAAAAGTGATTCGTTCAACGTCTTGTAATACAGCTTATATATATTTATGCTATAGTTTCAGATCTTGTAATAGTAAAATATATTGAAGCAAACCATATTCCTTTCTCTTTTGTATTAAACCATATACTAAGTTAAATTAGTACATTTCATAACTTTAAACAATGCAAAAGGTTAGACTTGTTATAACGAAAAAGTTAGATGTGACTAGATAACGATGAGCTATTTATAAACTTAGCTACTGACTAATTGGATCGAGAATCTGCGAGATTTAGAGGCTTGGAGGGCAAGCAACATGTTGTGGATGCCGACAATGGGTGTCCCTTAGCAGCTACCCAGCTGCTTGTTTAGTTGACTCATTTGCTTCGACCAAATCACTAATGATATATATATATATATATGTATATTATGAAAGATGAGATTCCTAGTTGCATGTTGGAGTTCCCAATGGACTCGTCTTCCTTTAAGCCCTCCACCTTGTTCGACTTATTTGATCTCTTCTCTGCAGCTACCACCCCTCCGCCTCCGCCGCCCTCCTCCTCCTCCTCCTCCGACCGCCTTCTTAATATTCCTTCAACTCCTAATTCCTCCTCCGACACCGGCGACCTGGATCCTTTCAACAAACACAAGTAAGCCTTCCTAATTTTATTGGATAAAAGTTTCACCTGAATTTGTTTATAAACAAGAAATATTATCTTCATATGAAGCCTTTTGAGAAAGCTCAAAGTGGACAATAGAGTAGTAGGGTCGAGTTGTTAATTTTTGTTGATTTTGTGATATTTGGTGGTTAGGTTGAAGCCCAAAAACAAGAACATAAAAAGGGCTACACAACCCAGATTTGCGTTCATGACCAAGACCGAAATGGATCATCTCGACGACGGTTACAGGTGGCGGAAGTACGGTCAGAAAGCCGTTAAAAACAGCCCCTACCCAAGAAGCTATTACCGCTGCACCACCGCCGGCTGCGGCGTCAAAAAGCGAGTCGAACGATCCTCCCACGACCCTTCCGTCGTCGTCACCACTTACGAAGGTCAACACAATCATCAAAGCCCCATCTTGCCACGTGGATCCCTCTCACCATCAATTTCCACCTCCGCCGCCCTCCATCCACCGTCCCTTCTTTTCCAACACCAACAATACACCTACACCTACACTCCGCCACCGCCGCCGCCAATGGAGGTTGTCAGGTGCGGAGGATTCGAACCGATGTTCCATTGTTTCGGACAAGAACGGCGCCGTATTGGTGGATCCTCTCCTAGTTCTGCTTCCTTCAAAGACCATGGGCTTCTGCAAGATATGATCGTACCCTCCTCCTCCTCCTCCTCCTTACACATCCTCAAAGAAGAGTAAAAATAAATAATTTTTTTTCCGTCTTCTTATATTTTAAAAATTCATGAGCTTTTCTTTCATCATTCACACAATCCCCATCACTGTATAATATTATATAATTAAATTAAGTAGCT